AATTCACTAGTTGCTAACATTTTGCCCCATTTGCTTTATTATTGTTTTATTTATTTATTTATTTATTTATTTATTTATTTATTTATTTATTTTCCTTTATTGATTTTAGAGTGAGAGGGAGAGAGAGAGAGATAGAAACATTGATGAGAGAGAACATTGATTGGCCACCTCCTGCATGCCCCCCACTGGGGATGGGGCCCACAACCTGGGCATATGTCCTGACCAGAAATCGAACCAGTGACCTCTTGGTTCATGGGTGGATGCTCAACCACTGAGCCACACTGGCTGGGCAAGATTCTTATTTAATTCGTCTGAAATGAGCCTGAGCTTCAGAAGTCACCAAAAGATAGTTTAAAGACCAAAGTCCATTCACATTCTTACTTCTCTTGATCCATAGACTGTTTATAAAAATTGAGAACTTACAATAATAAAGAAATTCAGCCAGTGTGGCTCAGTGGTTGAGCATCGACCGATGCACCAAGAGGTCACTGGTTCGATTCCCAGTCAGGACAAATGCCCGGATTGTGGGCCCAACTCCCAGTGTGGGCATGCAGGAGGCAGCCAATAGATGTTCTCTCTCATTGATATTTCTATCTCTCTATCTATCTATCTATCTCTTCCTCTTTTTCTAAAATCAATAAAGGAAAAAAAGAATCTCTGTGGCAGGGTCTGGAGATACACACACACACACACATAATTTTTATTGATGTTAGAGAGAGTGGAAGGGAGAAGGAGAGACAGAGACAGAGAGAGAAACATTGATGTGATAGCAAAATATTGATTACCTGCCTCCTGTATGCCCTCTACTAGCAATTGAGCCCACAACCCAGGCATTGAACCGGCAACCTTTCGGTGCACAGGATGATGCGCAACCAACTGAGCCACACTGGCCAGCGCTGGACATTTGTATTTTTTTTTTTTTTTGGTACGTGCCCCTAGTGGGAACCGAACCTGGGGCTCTCTAGTCCACAGGCCGACACTCCGACCGCTGAGCCAAACCGGTCGGGACAAGGACATTTATATTTTTAAAGTTTCCTCCAACTGATGCTGATGTGTAGCTAGGGCAGAGCTCGGTCCTCATGGTAATGTCATTCCCCTGATTCAGTCATTCACCCACCCAGCTAGTACTTATTATCCCGTGCCTACTATGTGCCAGAAATAGCCATAAGCTCAGCACATATGACCACTGCCTCTGTAGAACTCTCAGGCAAGTGGATAAATGAATGAACGATAAATGAATGAAGGTCAATGAGCAAGAAATTATGGCCTAGGAGTCACTGAAGACTTCATGGAAGGGACAAGGCTTGATCTTGCCCTTGAAGAATGGACAGAATTTAAAGAGAGCAAGGAAAAACATTTCAGGCAGAAATAACATTCAGCCACAAAGTCAGGGAGTTGGGAATAAGTATGGTATAGCTAAGGGTACCGTGTGGACGCCGGCCTGATTGGAGCAGGGTGTGTGTGGACACAATTTGGAAAATAAGATCGTCCAGGTAGAAAAGGGCCCAAGCAGGAAAAATGTAAATCTGAGAATGTTATTAAACTATTGTGGTAAGTACTGTTTTCGTGTCCATTTTACAGATGGGGAAGTTGAGGCACAGGGAAATTATGTTGTTAAAGTTCTTGTGGCTGATAAATGCAGAGCTGGAACTGAATTCTGGGCAGACACAGCTGCAGTTTGCGGGCTTGAATGCTATGTCAAGCTGCCTTTCCCCTCCCAAAAGGTAGAGACACAACTCGGCAAAAGTCAGCTCTGGGGCAGCGGAACGAAGAAGCATACAAGGGAAACGAGGGTTCTGGTCTGGAGGTTGGCAGCAGGATGCTGCTGGTCCAGGAGCGAGTGGGCTGGGGAAGGAGCTGCGTGACATCTAGCCATGGGTTCAGCAGTGGTCCCTGCCTCAAAGGTTAGAATGAAATGAGATGAAAGAAGAGCTCATGGCACATTAGTTGGCACACTCATGGGGACCTAGTGAGTGTGACTAGTCTTCACAGTGTTTGGAGGACCAGGAATGCCCGGGACCCTGGCTGTGGACCAGAGTGGTGGTACAGCATTAACATTTATCTGATGCCCCCAGCTGAGTCCCGCTGAGGCCCACGTGCCAAAGCCTTGCAAAGACCAGAGCGAGCAGGTGCGTGTGCGAGGGTCCTTCCATTGCTCAGGGGTCTACTTCTCTCCTCCAGCTCTCTGGCCTTTGCGGGTGGGCTTTGTACCTTGGTCTCCAGAGCAGGCATCCAGCTAGTTCAGCCCCTGCTGACCAACTCCCTAGATGTCCTGTTTTTGACAAACTTCTAGTTCCCAAGGCTGCAAGTCGCTGCCTTTCCCACCTCACAGTGTTCATCAGCTACTCAATCCACCTCTCAGATCTTCCCTCCTCATAGCCGCAACCACTCTCCCCAAGGCATGGGATGAGACCGCTGGCGGGCACCGGCCGGCTCTTACAGAGCGGCAGACCCCGCAGAGAGAGCGTGACCCCTTTGCAGGTCGCCTCGATCCTTCTGAGTAAGCCAGAGATGTGTCTTCTCTGGTGTGAGCGCACCTTTAACGTCTTCTCACATTTGGGTTTTATCCTTTTCACAAAGTGCAGGGGGCTGGCCCTCAGTTCAGAACAGGCTGCAGCCAGAACACGGCATGATTTTGATGTTTTTATGGAATTTATTTTTCCAGTTACCATTGCTTATGGCAAGTCATTCCAGTTACTTTTTTGAAAATATGTTTTTAATTGATTTTCTAGGGAAAGAGAGATAAAAACATTGATGTGAGGGAGAAACATCGATCGGCAGCCTCCTGCACGCCCCCCACTGGGGATCAAACCTGCAACCCAGGCATGTGCCCGGACTGGGAATCCAACCGGGACCTCTCAGTCCATGGGACAAGGCTCAGTCCATGGGACGACGCTCAGTCCACTGAGCCACACTGGCCAAGCTCCAGTTACCTTTTGATAGTAGTCCTATAAAGTTGCATTTCAAGATATATTTATTGACGTGGAAACTGGGTCAGTCGACAGAGTAGCGTTAGTAAGTGACTGTCGATGTGGCACGTGGACATGCAAGTTCACAGGGGTTCACTCCGACAACAGGTTTGGAGGGATCAGTCACGTTAGAAAGCAGAGGCTTAGAAATGCTGTCCCCGCTCCTAAGACACACTCTCCTGGAGCCTCTCTTTCCTCATCTGCCCAAACGCGAACAAGTGCCTGTGTGTGGGTTGCTGCAGGGTCCCATGAGGTGATCGGACACGTGTGGGTACAGTGCGGAAGCAACGGCTCTGGCGTGGTAAGATGAGTCGTTGCTAGCCTGTGCTCAACACTTAGGTTCGCCATTGAGTGTGGACAAGTGACTAGTTCCCAGGCCTTTCATCCCACAGGGTGGAGGGGTGGGGGCAGGGCGTGCCACCCCCCTCGCCTCAGCCTCCTCCTTGCCAGGAGGAGAAGACGTGATGAGTGGACAGGGCTAGAGCACAGCGTGGGCTCTGTGACCTCAGTGGCCGGAGCCCCAAGCGGAGCTCTTTGAAGTGTGAGGTGCTGGGACGGGAGAAGGGGCACCCAAAGTCCAGGAAGTCAGCGTTGGTGAAGGTGACATCATATATTCAAAACATTCAAAAATCCTTCTACTTTCTGCCCCAACAGCCTCTGAGTGTGCAAAGCACACCTCGCCCCGCAGTGTGGAATTAGCTCCTTGGCTTCGCCTTCCTGCACTACTGCTTGCTACGGACTGAATTTGCCTCACTGCCCCCCAATTCATATGTCGAATCCTTACCCCCCAAGGTGATGTGTTGGAGATGGGGTCTTTGGGAGGTAATTCAGGCTCCATGAGGTCACGAGGTGCCACCCTGTGATGGGATGGGTGGCTTTGAAAAGAGGAAGAGAAGAAAGGGTGCGAGCTCCCCCGCCCCAGCCGTCTGAGGACAAAGAGAGAAGGGGTGACTGCAAGCCAGGAAAGGGCCCTCGTCAAAACCCAGCAGGCCAGCACCCTGATCTCGATGTCCCGCCTCCAGGACTGTGAGAAGTAATGTCTGTTGTTGACGCCACGTGGTCTGTGGGACTTCGTGATGGCAGCCGGGACAGACTAACGCGACGTCATTCTCTCTAGAATCCACCCCAAACTGATAAGTGTGTGAATTTGTACAATCAACAATGTGCTAATCGTTCTACCTATGGTGTTTTATTTAAGCCTTAAAACCCTATGGAGGAGAGCACTATACCATGTTCCATTTAACTTTAGTTAAAATTTAAAAAAAATTGTATTGATTTTAGAGAGAGACGGGGAGAGGGAGAGAGAGAGGAGGAGAGAAACATCGATGAGAGAAACACCAGGCAGTTGCCTTCTGCGTGCACCCTGACGGGGAGCAAACCTGAAGTCTGGGCATGTGCCCGGCCAGGAGCCAAACTGGTGACCTTTCGGTGCATGGGAAACGCTCCAACCAGCTGAGCCACCCAGCCAGGACTATACCATGTTCCTTTTTTTTTTTTTTTTTTATAATCCTCACCCAAGGATATTTTCCATTTATCTTCAGATAGAATGAGGGGAGGAGGGTGAGGGGTGAAAGAAAGAGAGAGAAACATCGATGTGAGAGAGACACATCGATCGGATGGCTCCCACATGACCCCGACCAGGGCTGGGGACTGAACTGCAACAGAGGTACTTGCCCTTGACCAGAATTGAACCCTCAACTCTTTGGTCCACAGGCTGACGCTCTAAACGCTGATCCAACTGGCCAGGGCCCATGTTCCATTTTAAAGATGAGGAGACTGAGGCTTGAAGCTTAGGTGGATCCCAGTGCTACTGGGTGCGAGAGCCAGGGTTTTGAACAAACGCTGGCCCCCAGCTAGCCCAACGACTCTGACATTGGCGGGAGCACCTTGCTGGTCTCAAGAGGTGAAGGGGGATCCCTCCAGTGGGCCAGAGTGTGGATGAGCAGACTCGGCTTCCAGTTCAGCCGTGGGGAGTGAGTTTGTGCAGGAGGCACCCAGAAGCAACAAAACACTGTGGCTCAGTTGGTTATGGGCAAAACCTTTAATCACAGGAGTGCGTGTAACATTAGCTGCTTCGGGGCTCTGACAGCTTTGATTTCTGGTCATGTTTTTCTAACACGGAAAAGTGAATGCCTCCCCCAGGGCCACCTGGGCGGTTGGTGTCCTGAGGATTTGTGTGAGTGGACAATAGGAACAACTGTGCACACATCTGGATATTTGGGGATCCATCCCCCCAAGCCACTACCTGTGACTTTGAGTGAGATCCTCTTCCAAGGAGGGAAAAATGTGGAGTTCCTTCCAGTAAAGAAGGAAGAAGGGGAACATCTGGCACAGACACACAGAGAGGAAGGGCGTCGGTGGATCGGCTTGAAGAGTGGGGAGGAACAGAGGGTTAGGACCTGGAGGCTGAGGGACAGAGTGTGGGACAGGGCTGATCCATTTGGTTTCATTCTTTGTAAAAAATAATACCATCACGAGGACCATGCCATGCAACCTCAGAGACAGCTCTGCGCCCGGGCAGTGCCGGGCGGGCGGGCAGTTCAGACGGGCGTGGTGCGCCTGTTGGCCAGGTCGTTGTGCAGCGCCTCCTTGAAGTCTTTGGGCGTGGAATTGTGGAACTGTAGAAAAGCGTGGTCCCGGTCGGAGTTGAGGAGGGTCCCCATGGTGATCTTCGAGGGGTCCCGGGAGAGGGTGAACATTGAGATGTCGGTGGAGGGGATGGTGTGGAAGCCTTTGCCAGTGGGGGACAGGTCTCGGGACCTGGGCTCCGTGGAGCGGGAACTCGAGCGCCGCCGGAACCTGTGCCTGTAGGGTGGCAGGCGGGCAAAAGTTGATTTCCTCAGGAGCTCCGAGTGGGATTTGGCGCGTAACTGCTGATGCTTCTCGATGTAGATGTGCACGGCAACAACCCCCACGATCTCCGCGATGATGAACGAGAACGCTCCGAAGTAGAAGGACCAGCCGTACGAGTAGCTCTTCTTGGAGTCGCGCTGCCCGGGGTCCCCGGCGTTGGCTGATATATAAACTATGATGCCAATGATGTTGCTTAGCCCTAAGAGAAGGGAAAGAAAAACGCATCTTTTATAAACCTCAGAGGTAACTTGCAGTCTTGAAACATTTATAACAAATGTGGAGGTAACGGGCGGGAGGAAAGGCTTTGTGGCTGGGAAATCCTGCCCGCCCAGCGTCTCCTGGGAAGCGGAGGGTCGGTCCCAGGTCGCATGCCTTCAGCGAGGAAGACACCTGACTCCTACGGCAAGTGCAGAAATCAGAGCACCTGTCTTTCCCCGTGGAAGCAATTCTCTCCATCAACCCGTGATCTTCGGCAGGAAGTCGTTAGGATAGTAAAATGAAGGAGATACAGGGCCCTGCCGGTGAGTTCCTCACCATCCGTGGGAGAAACGGACGTGTAAATGCAATTAGAGCAAAAGACAGGGGCGGCTCTCCCAGAGACAGGGACAAAGTGGTTTGGGAGCCAACAGAGAGAGGTGACTGAGCCTCTTCCCTTTGAAGACAAGGTGACAGTCCAGCTGGATCCTGAAAATTGTGTGGAGTGTGAGAGAGAGACTTGCTGGGGCTCTAGCTTGGATCGGGAGCTAAACGAAGAGGCAGCAGAGGGAACAGGTTTAGGGAAGAGATTTAGACACGTTGAGTTGGAGGTGCTTGTCGGGAGTCCAGTGTGGCTGTCCAGTGGGCACACTGGAGCCGGCGCTACAGTTTGGGGGAACGCATGGCCCACTGGGAAGGTCCAGTAGCTCCTAAGTCTCCCTGTCTGCACAGGATAAGATAATGCTCTAGGGTAGCTGTTGTTGGGGAATTGGGGAACACGCAGCTGTTGTTCCCAGTCGGCAGAGTCCGCCTACTTAGCGTCCCCAAGTGCCGACAGAGCAGCCCAGGAGTGGCTGCAGAGGCGGTGGGAGAGGAAGCGGCCCGGGGGGTAAGAAGAAACAATAGAACCCAGGGCCAGTGGCTGTGCTCAGGCCTGACCACTTTTCTCACATCATTGCTCCAAGGGCGGAATGTGCCTTTTGTCCCCAAGGACCTCATGTGGCCTGGCACCAGCAATGACTCAGTGGGTTGGCACATCACCTTGCCTCCACATTTTGGCCTCCTGCAGGGTGGTGCTAAGTGGAGGCTGGCCCTCATTACAGTTCTCCGCATGCGCTGGCAAATAATCTTTGCCAGTGGCCTCCTGACTCTTCCCTCCGTTTCACGAGCACCCCACACTCTTCCTGGGGATCCCCAAGATACCCCCATGTCCAGCAACCAACAGATTAAAGGTTGGCATCGCAGGGGCCACTGGACTCTGCGCCAGTTCTAGCACTCTGACTGGCTGGGGCGCATGCACCAAGGGAATTCGTGTTTGGATATTGTCTCTGGCGACGCTCCAGCTAGGACTTGCCCCTTGAGGTCAGGGCCAGGGTCTGCTTCTGCGTCTCCGCCTGGCATTACCCTGCAAGGCACCCAGCAGTAGGCAGTGAGTTCTAACCCTGAGCTGTCCTCAGTACGGGGCTGACACGGCCAACCAAGGATGAAAAGTGGCTTCTGTCCTCACAGTGTCACGGCTTGAAGATTAGTAGGGCAGGCACATTCTTTTATATTAAAATGAACATGAATATAATAAGGAGGCGAGAGCAGAATTCACATGAATTTTAAGTGTCAATGGGAGACAGACTTTGAAGACATTACAGCTTGCCCTGGCCAGTTGCTCAGTGGTTAGAGCATCGAGCCATGGACTAAAGGCTCACAGGTCCGCTCCCTGGCCCTGGTCCCGGCACACGCGGGATGCAACCAGTCAATGTGTCTCTCTCACTTGGATGTTTCTCTCTCTCTCCCCCCACCTTCAACTATCTCTACAAAAAAATCAATGAAAAAAATATGCTTGGGTGAGGATTAACAACAACAAATAATAATAATAAATAAAGACATTTTAGCTCATTAAAGTCAGCTTCTTGTAATGTCCCCTAACTCCCTCTGCCAGTAGGAAAACTTTGGGAAGCTCCAAATGGAAGTCTTGCCAGAAAAAACAAGAAGTTCAAAGAGAGGCTCAGATGTAGGCACAGGTTAAAGGTGGGGCAGGCGAGTGAGCTGCCGTCTGCTCATGGAGCACGTGCTGTCAGGCACCAGGCCAAGTCTGCGTCACCATCTCAATCAACCGTCACAACAGGTCTGCTTTTTTTTTTAACATATTTTTACTGTTGAATGTATTACAGATGCCCCCCTTCTTATCCCCATTGACCCCCTCATCCCCAATCCCGCCCCTCTCCTGCCTTCCCCACACTATGATCTGTGTCCATTGGTTCTCCATATATGCATAGAAGTTCTTTGGTTTATCTCATCCCACCCTCCTACCCCCTTCCCTTTGAGGTTCATCAGTCTAACAACCAATCTGTACTTCTTAATTCCTTCGTCTTTTTTACCCATCCCCCCAGCCCCTGTCCATCTGGCAAGCAACAAAAAGTTCTCTGTATCTGTGAGTTTGTTTCTGTTCTGCTTGCTCATCTTGTTTGTAGATTCAATTGTTGATAGATATGTATTAATTGCCATTTTATTGTTCATATTTTTGTCCTTCTTCTTCAAGAAGACCCGTCAACATTTTATATAATACTGGTTTGGTGGTGATGAACTCCTTTAGCTTTTTCTTGTCTGGGAAACTCTTTATATGTCCATCAATTCTAAATGATAACTTAGCAGGATAGAGCAATCTTGGTTGTAGGTCATTGCTTTTCCTCACCTTGAATATCTCTTGGCACTGTTTTCTGGCCTGCAAAGTATCTTTTGAGAAATCAGCTGACTATCTTATGGGAGCTTCTTTGTAAGTAATGAACGGCTTTTCTCTTGCTGCTTTTAATATTCTTTCTTTGTCTTTAACCTTTGGCATTTTGATGATGATGTGTCTTGGTATGGCCCTCTTTGGATTCATCTTGTTTAGGACTCTTTGTGCTTCCTAGACTTGTATGTCTGTTTCCTTTATCAAGTTAGGGAAGTTTTCTGTCATTATTTTTTCAAATAGGTTTTCAATTTCTCGCTCTCTTTCTTCTCCTTCTGGCACCCCCATGATGCAAATGATGGTATGCTTAAAGTTTTCCCAGAGTCTTCTTACACTGGGACATTTTTTGGATTCTTTTTTCCTTTTGCTGTTCTATCGGGTGTTTTTTGCTTCCTTATATTCCAAATCGATGGTTTACTTCTTGGCTTCACCTACTCTACTATTGATTCCCTGTAAATTATTTTTTATTTTAGTTAGTGCATCCTTCATTTCTGACTGGTCCTTTTTTATGTTGTTGATGTTCTCACTAAGTTCCTTGGAGTTCTCCTTAAGTTCCTTGGAGTTCTCCTTAAGTTCCTTGAAGGTCTCACTAAGTTCCTTGAGCATCCTTATAACCAGTGTTTTGAACTCTGCATCTGATTAATTGCTTATCTCCATTTTATTCAGTTCTTTTCTTTCATTTTGGATATGTTTCTTTGTCTCCTCATTTTGGCTGCTTCCCTGTGAATGTTTCTACGTATTAGGTAGAGTTCTATGTCTCCTAGGCTTCCTAGGGTGGCCTATTGTTGTAGGTGTCCTATAGGATCTAGTGGCACAGCCTCCCTGATCACTCCAGCTGGTCCCTCTAGGTGCACCCCTAGTGTGGACTATACACCCTTCTGTTGTAACTGAGTCTTGATTGCTGTTGGTACATCAATGGGAGGGATTTACTCAGGCTGATCAGCTGCAAGGACTGGCTATGCCCACTGACCACTGGCCTCTGACTACCTTGGGGGATCAGCTGTGTAGGGCCCACCACACAGAGCAAGACTTACTTTAGCAGGGTTCCATTACCCACTTAGTCCACTCATTGAGTGTGTCACTTGTGGAGGGGGTTGGGTGGTGGTGTTTTGATGTGGTCTGAAGTTGTTCACTGGGTGTGCTGGCTCTGGGGCAAGGTCAGCCACTGCCTGTGTTCTATCCAGGGCCACCCAGCATAAGCTACAAAGTGATCTGCCAATGGCTGCTTCTTGTGCTGGGCTTGGAGGTGCCCAGGAAAAGCCAACTGTGAACCAAGGCTGGCTGCTCCTAGTGCCAGGCCTGGGGCCACTTAACAAGAGGTATGGGGCTCGCTGAGACCAGATGCTGCTTGTTTGAGAGATTTTAGGAAACTATGAAGCAAGATCCAAGACAGGCCAACCTTTTGGTACAGCCTTTGGAAACAGCTTGGGTGGGCCTGAAAGTTGGGCGGGGCAGGGCCTCAGGGAATCACCAGGGCGGGGCTACCAGTGTGAGCCAGGTTGCTGGAGTCCCAGATGTGGCGGCCATCTGCCATCCCAGGGAAGGGCTCACCAAAGGAACAAAGGCCTTCACCAGCATGTCTGTCTCAGAGAAAGTTGCCTCTCCAGCCCTCATCTGGAAGCCAGATGACTCAGTTCTTCCCTGTATGTCTCTGGTGCCTTCCAAGCTGCCTCCCCTCTGAGCTCAGAGAGAGCAAGTCCGAGTAAGTCCATGCGCGGGCCCTTTAAGAAGAGCTGCCTGGGGCTCCTGAAGCCTCAGCCTCCCTCAGCCTCAGTTTCCACTGGTTTTACAGCCAGAAGTGATGGGGATTCTCTTCCTGGCACTGGAACCCGGAGCTGGGGGCCTGGTGTGGGACAGGGACTCCTCACTCCTCAGGGAGGACCTTCCCAGCTGAGGTGTCCTCCTGATTTTTATCCGCCACCTGTGGGTGTTGGACCAGTCCATCCGCCTCCGCCCTCCTACCAGTCTCCATGTGGCTGCTTCTTTAATCTCATAGTTGTAGGACTTCCATTCAGCTCCATGTCAGGCGGTTCTGAATGATGGTTCTGTAGTTTAGTTGTAATTTTTTTTTTTTTTACCTCACCTGAGGATACTTTTCTATTTATCAGATAGAGTGGGAGGGAGGGAGAAAGAGAGAGAGAGACAGAGAGAAACATCGACGTGATAGAGCCACATCGACTGGTTGCCTCCGGCATGACCAGACTAGGGCCGGGGACGAACCGCAACCGAGGTATGTGTCCTTGACCTGAATCGAACCTGCGACTCATTGGTCCACAGGCTGATGCTCTAACCGCTGAGCAAAACTGGCCAGGGCTAGTTATAATGTTGATGTGGTTGTGGGAGGAGGCGAGTACCGCGTTTACCTACGCCAACATCTTGACTGGAAGTCCAGGTCCACTTTTTAAAAGATTATCACTCTAGCCCAGCTGGTGTGGCTCAGTGGACTGAGCACTGTCCCATGGACTGAGAGGTCCCGTTCAATTCCTGGTCAGGGCACATGCCCTGGTTTCGGGCTCGATCCCCAGTGGGGGCTGTGCAGGAGGCAGCCGATCGATGTTTCTATCTCTCTGTCCCTCCTCTCTCTCTAAAATATCAATTAAACAAAATAAAATAAATAAAATAAAAGATTACCACTTTTTTACAGAGGACAAGACTGAGACACAGAGAAAGCAACTTCCTAAGTCAACACAGCTAGGAAAAGGTGGGGATGGGATTTGGACTCAGGGTGGCCTGTAGCCACAGGGGGAGTTAGATTTCACTAACAAAGCTTATGAAGAACCATGGTCTGTGGGCAGCCGCTTCCTCCCTGCCAGCAGGCTGGCATTTTCTTCATGCTGAGGCCCCATGTCCCAGTGCAGAGCCTGACCCACCGCAAGAGTGCAGCTTACATTTGGGGAACCAGCAAGTGAGCTGAGATGGCATAAGAATCACGTGGAACAATGTACCGAATAGCAGCTACCGGGTATTGGGAAACTACTGTGCTATGCAGTTCCAGGCCTGTTATACCAACACATTTAATCCTCTTAACAGCCATAAGAGGTAGAGCCATTATTATCCCTGTTTTTAAAATGTTTTTTCTGTATTGATTTTAGAGAGAGAGAAACATTGATGAGAGAGAATGTTGATTGGCCGCCTCCTGCATGCCCCCCACTGGGGATTGGGCCCACAACCCGGGCATGTGCCCCGACCGGGAATCAAACCGGTGACCTCTTGTTGCATGGATCAACGCTCAACCACTGAGCCACACCGGCCAGGCATTATCGCTGTTTTTAAGATGAGGAAACCGAGGCACAGACAGTTTAAGAGACTTGTCTGAGTTTACACAGCTGGGAAGCAAGAGAGCCAAGAATTGCACTAGGCAGCCTGGTTTCCGAGCCCACACTCTTCACATTTTGCACTGTGCCTGGCACATAGTAGGTGCTCAGTAAAGGGTTGTCGCTTGCCTGTTCAAGACCATAGACTGTTAGAATAGCTGAGCAAAAAAAGGGCCTTACAGAGTGCTGTCCTCCAAAACTTTCATTTTATAGGTGGAAAAACTGAGGCTCTCTGTTCCTCGGGGAGAGCAGTGGGGGGAGGGTCTGGGATTCGACCCCCAGCTCCTGGCTCCTCGGGGCTCCCACTGCTGCTGCTCAGATTCCCCAGTTCCTGTGTCTAATCGGCCTGACAGCTCTCACAGCGCCTCTGCTTAGAAGAAGCTGCTGGCGACATACTCTTCCCTAACAGTCCCCTTGGGGGACAAAATAATGATCTTCTCCTGTCTAGGAAACCCTCCCATCAGCCAGCACATCATCCGGTGGGGCCCCGGTGCCAGGAGGTCTGGTCAGGCACCGGCAGCTGGAACGTGCCCCTGAGGAGCACACGGCCCTGGGTTTGCCAGTGGTGACCATCTGTGCACAGAGTGTGACGGGGCCATGGCGGCTTCCTCCGTGGTCTGTGGCTGGAGCCCGTTCCTAGAGACCAGAGCAGGGTGCGTCCATCCTCCTCGCTCCCCCGAAGAGGCGATGGTGGGAGGCGGTCTCAGAGGGGCCGGGACTGTGTCGTTGCTGCTTTGCCAATACTAGAAAGTAATTCTGTGCTTTTTATGTTCAGCCTACTTCCAGCAACCCTATGAAGCAGGCAGTATTATTATTTCCCACTTTACAGTCGAAGAAACCAAGTTGTAGGGAGTTGGCAATGCTCCCAAGTCTCCACAGGTGGAGCCAGAATTCAAATCCGGGGGGCCGACCTCCTCTTACCACCATTCTACACTCACCCCACGTTCCCATCCCAGTGACACTCTGCCGTTACCGGGCAAAGCCTGAAGGTCGTCCCCAGAGGCCAGCCTCCCTCCCCAGACTCCTGCCTGTTCCGTGCTTTCCCAGAGCGTGTCATCCGGATGGCATTGCTTGATGGTGGGGTGGGGGGAGATGGGAAGGAGGCGGAAGAAACCCAGGGGACGGAGGAGGCAAGGAGCACGGAGACGGCGTGGAGACGCAGGGAGGAGGCCGAGAGTCGGAGCCCTTCCTTCGGGTTGGCTCCCGTCCTCCTGCCTCGCTGGGCCCCTTCTGCTCAGAGCTCCATTGACTGCACCATCTCCGCGGCTGCTCTTTGCCGTGTTCCCAGAGATGCTTTGAACAATATGAAGATCTGAACACTTGAAGAGCTGTGAGCAATACTTAACCGGCAGACACACACCTCAAAAGGCCAGAGATAGTCTATGAAGAGGCCCCGGTGAGCAGAAAGTTGGGTCCCTTTCAAACACACTGACCAGGCTCTGGTCACACATCACACACACGTGCCCCCTGAGAGCAAGTGCAGGCGTCCCCGCCTTGCCCTCTGAGCTGGCCTGGCCACCGTCTCCTCCCCCTCCTGCATTGCACCTTAGCGAGGGGGTCAGCCTCTCTGGTTCTGATTCAAGTCCGTGGGCCCTCATTCTTTTTTTTAAATCCTCACCTGAGGATATTTCTCCATTTATCTTCAGATAGAGTGGGAGGGAGGGAGGGAGAGAGAGAAACATCAACGTGAGAGGGACACATCGACCGGTTGCCTCCCACACGACCCCAACCAGGGCCAGGAAAACCCGCAACCGAGGTTCGTGCACTGATAGGAATTGATCCGAGACTCTCTGGTCCGCGGGCTGATGCTCCAACCACTGAGCCAAACCGGCCAGGGCTGGGCCCTCATTCTTAACATAACAAGTTGACCATTTTCTTGCTTTTCCTCGCAGGGAACCCTGAATAGCATGGCCTTGTCCCCGTGGCCCTGGCTTGGGTCGGTTCTGTGCAGATCCCAGGGCTGGGCCGGGTGCTCACCTGCAGAGACAAAGAAGATGCCCGCGCTGAGGATGACATTGTGTCTGCTGCGGTGGAACTCGCTGGCCGCCACGCAGAGCCCGCCGAAGAAGAGCAGCGTGACGCTGAGGATGGGGAAGACGCTGGAGGCCCTCACAGCCCCTGCGGAGAGAAGGAGACAGGGCTCCACCTGGTCCCCAGCAGCCCAGGGCCCACTCGCCATAGCCCGGGGATGCCCGAGGGAAGCCAGCATGTGAGCCGGGGCAGAGCCTGCATCGGACACAGGCGTGAGGCCGGTGCCGTCACCAGGGCCTGTGCTGGGCTCCTCTGCAGTCAGCATCCTTAGATTCTTAACCATTGAGCTTTGGATCTGTGCTTTCTGAGGAAGTTTGATGAGCCAATGCAGCTCCCCCTGGGGGCTCGGAGCCTTGACTCACGTGAGATCCCACCGCCCACCACCCACCACCCACCACCTCCCCACCTCCCCTTCTCCTTGGGATGGGTCCTCAGCTGCCCACTTCCCTGTCCAACCAGTAACCCTGCAACTCTTTGCTCCTGGTGAGGGCTAAGCATGCACATAGGAAAAATCAGGGCATCTTTGAGTGTCCCCAAGCAGGAGGGAGTGTGACCTCAAATAGCAAATATAAGAGACTGCCTGCCGGGAGAGGGAGATCAAAGAACAAAGGAAAATTTTGTTTTGCCCACATTTTGAACCAGGAGCCTGGGATTTTCATTTTGAACCAGGTCCTGCAGATACATAGCCAATCCCGTCCTGGGATCCCCAACAGACCACACGCTAGTTACCGAAATGCAGGCTTCGCCAGACACCCCACGCTTGCACAGGACTGGTTGGATATTTGAAATGTGTGGTTATGAGATGTGGCTGTTTTCCGTGTGGTGCAGTAGCCATGAGGCGACCAGTGGTGGCCAAGCCCATTCTAGCCCACAGATGCGGTCGGAGCAGCCCCCGAGAACTCGGCTACGCCTGCCCGCCTTCCCCGCACGTCTGCGGCTGCCACTTCTTCCTAAGTCAGTGGGTGTCTAACCCCTTGTAGCCCAGTGGACACCTGGCAGCTTCAGAACAGAAAGGGTTTAGTGTTTTCCTTCCCAAACCACCTGGGGCTAAGTTGGGGTCTTCGGGGTGAGGAGGGGACGCTTATTCCAGTTAATTCCCCCAGGGGTGCCTGAGCAGGGCTGGGCCAAGGCCAGCGTCTGGGCATCTCTGTTCCACAGGAGCTGTGGGCGAACAGACCTTCTGCTGCAGGTTTAAGCTGTCGCCTACCCAACAGCACATGGGAAAGAGGAGGCGACAGAAAGACCAGTGTGCAGAGCTCCACCCCACTATGGTGTGGTCACACCAACCCTAGGGCCCGGAGACCCCTCCGGAACACGCCCTGGCCCTGTGTAGTTGGGTCAGTGGCCCCAAAACCCCAGCAGGAAATCCATGTGCCGGTCAAGGTCCCTCCTTAACCCTCGCCTGGTTCTGTGGCTACTGGTGGGGCACGGGTGGAGCGTGGTGAGGAACCCCACCTTCCAGAATGGAGAAGCACATTTTGTCCAGAAAACAATGCACCACTCCAGAGAACTTAACATTAGTTTGCAAGTTGTGAAATAGAAGTCACAGTTCTGTTTAGTCTCCAACAGGGCAAATGTCACAATATTTCATCAAATTGGAAAGAAAAACCATGAGCACTGTGGAAAAACCCCACCGGGTATGGCTTTAAAGTCCTCCTCTCTTCAGGGGCCCAAGGAATCTCTGTCACCCCCAAACTTTGGTCAGGCCACGTCTCTGAATGTGGGTTTTATTCCCCACGCCAAACCAGTTTGAGCTGCTGGTATAAATACACCCTAATGGGCATTTGGGTAAATCCTAGTAGATGGGTAAGGATTGAAAAGAGATAAATGGTATGTTTATGTTGTAAAAATTAGCTTAAATAGGACTGTTTCTTTCAAAATGACCCCTGTACCACTTACATTGTTACTTGATTAAAGGCTCATACATAGACCCATAGCCCATCTGCAGACTAGCAGGCATGAATAGAGCTAAAAATGATTTTAATTGTAAAAACACTCTTTTTGAGAGATGAATTATACACATAATCTGAATAGGACAATTTCATGACGTTTTTATTTTAATAGCAGTTTTTAAAAATCTTACATTTAAGCCTCTCTAATATAATTAGTCAATGTCTTAGAATTCTCCTTTGAAGTGAATTAGATACACATGCTCATTGAAGAAGTTACATTTAAATGACACTCAATCCCAGAGTCTCCTTGTGCCTGGGTCAATGTCGGGCTCGTGTCTGCAGCTGGCCTTGGCTCTGGCTCATCTCACGGAACAACAAGAAGTAACACCTATGGTTCAAGATGAGATGTTGGACCTGGGGCTACATGGAAAGTGCATTTGTTTATTTAATTTCATGACCCTGTCAGATGGATGACATTATAATCTCATTTCTGACTAGATAAAGAAAGCTAAGAGAGACAGAGAGAATGCAGTTTGGCCCAGGTCCAACCCAGCTGGTAGGGCGGCAGACGGGAGTAAAAGTCCATGCTGACCAGTGTCCAGAGATCTGGCTCTGAGCTCTGCAGCTCCCACGTGCTGTGTTTGTGACAGTCCCATGGTATTTCTGGGCTATGACCTTGGGACAATCCTATGAAGACGCTGGCCCTGCCTTAGCAGGGCCGAAAAGAAGGGGAGTCAAAGAGAGGTGAACTCGGCTTTGCATTTACACCCCGCCCTCGCCCATTAGCACCTCACCCATTAGCACCTCCCCCATTAGCACTTCAAACCAGGCCTCTGGGGAAGGTGAAAACTGGGATTCAGGTTAAAGAAAATGCCTGAGATTTCCTCCCAAGCAGACTACAAAGAACCTTTCGTTTTGATTTGCCAACTTTTTTTCTTCTGTTTCTAGTTCATCAAAATTAGAGACTTAGATGTCAGAACCACTCGCCGTCTCTGTCTGGTAGCCAAGGTCCCCTGAAGGCTCCCTGTGTGTGTCCTTTTCTAGGGGTGCGTATGAGCATCTTCAAACTCAGAGGCAGCTGGGTGACCTCAGGGTACCTCTCCCTTCCCCTTGGGGAGACCCGATAAGTGGGGGAACTTACGAAGGAGATACTCAGCTGTGTCCTGTTCATAGTCAGCATCATCTGGGAAGTGATCGATTTTCTTGCAGACCCCTCGGAAAGCCCCTGTGGAGACAAACATGGTCCTGAGCTGGGGGAGAAGACAGGGCCCTGGGGCCCAGCCTGGTCCTCAGACCCCTCGATGAAGACCGACCCTGGTTTCTGCAGCATGTGCAGAGGTTGGACCGTCAGCATTTTTCGTAGGGCACAAAAAGGAGGCCAGCAGAGGGGGGAAAAGAAAAGACCGAAATTTTGTCTAGGTTTTGCACGATCTTGGGATTCCTTTAGAAGAGCAAAGAACTGTGAAACCTCCGCATTCACTGAGGACTGTCTGCTCCCCCCTCCACCCCCAGTTAGTGAGGGGAACGGGAAGAGGAAGCAGAACTTACACATGTAACCTACCTGCCCATTTACAGATGATGAAATTGGCACAGGAATTTTGCTTGTGCTCACACAACACAAGCTGCGTGTAGATTCCAGGCACCTCAGGAGCAGCCGGCCCTCCCCGGTCACGCTCATACCTGGCGGAACCGTGCCCTCCCCGGCCCTCTCCCAGGACCCGAGTTCGCGGCTCACCCCTTCCAGAGCCACAGAACCGGGGCTGCATCTTGGGAAACTGACTGTCAGCATTTCGTTCCCCTTTTCTTTCAATATCAGCTTGACTTAACTCGTGGTGGGTGTTTGATAATCGATGTGGGTGTTTGTTAACTATCCAATTAACCAGGCTCTGGGGGCAGCTCTTCTACGTGGCAAACAAGCTGAGCTTCTCGCCAAAGCAGCGGGGAGTTACTTGCTGCCGCTCTGGTCCCTCCTGGCCGAGCTCGAGTGGCGGTGGACAGCGGACAAGGTTTGGAATCACGCAGGGCCGGGCTTTTACTGTACAAACTAAACAAGGTGACATATGAAGATGGGTTAATTTTTCCAAAGCTCTCAGCACGTCAGAATAATGGCCAACACTTAAAGTGCTTCCTGTGGGCCCGGCACAGAGCAGAAAGCGTTCGTTCCTTTGTCCACTCTTGTCCACCAGCCTAGGAGGTGGCGCTGTTCACACAGACATTCGTTCAGGGGTGAGGCCTCAGGGACCACAGAGGAGCTCCAGGTGTCACAGCTGGAGAGTGGGGATTAAGGCCTATGGTCCTCCCCATTGCACTCCGAGTGGTAGCCATTATTATTATGTGTATTATTATCTGACAATAATGAGTGGCATATATTAGTCCCGACTCTAAGGAGGCTTCTAGCCAGAGGCATCTCACAGTAAACAATGCAACGCGAGGCCATCCTCTGGTTCGGATTCTTTGCCCACCAGGCAAAGACTGGACTCAGAACCAGGGGGTGTCCTGCGGGGGAGACCTAAAGGCTCAAGGACATTCTTGGGAGAAAGACAAGTTCATAACTTCTTTCCTGATATGGAAAAAAGGACTTCATTGTTTTTTCTTTAGAAAAAACGCGTTCCCGGTTGTTTTTAAGGCCCCTGCCCGTCCAGTTGGCTGGATGTAAGTCCAGATAAGCCTCATACATCGAGCACACCCTGTGTAGCACATACAATCCAAGCACTTTACGCTTCTTATTTTCTTTGGCTCTCAAAATAGCCTTACGAGTGGTAGTCTGATCCCCATTTTCCAGAGGAGGAAACTGAGGCTGAGTGAAGTGAGTGACTCCCCCAAGGACACAGCTCGAAGTGGCTCACCCTAAGTGTCAGTCTGCCCGACTCCGACTTTCCTGACCACCGTCCTGAGCTGCCCTCTCTTCAACACGGCTTGGGGTTACAAGCCAAGTCCTCTGCTAGGTGGCTTTCTGATAGCTTTGAGGTCCATCCACTACTGTTGAACTGGATTAGTGGCTCCTCCACCAACCCTGCTTTCTCCATGATATATGTCACGGGCCACTGAGCAGGTGAGGTAGGACCACCTATTGTTAGCTGCCTTACATCCTCCAACAAAGATTTCCTGGGAAGAAAAGGTTCTGCTGAAGATGAGATGCAAACCCCACCCAAACAGACCAGCCTACACGCATGCCTGCATCTGCCTGTGACCTGGGCCTTCCCAAGGGGGCCGAAGGCAGCTGGAAACGAGCGAGGACCTAAAGCCGGCAAACCCAGGAGCTTCCAGAAGGTCACCAGTTTTTAATGGTCTAAAACAGCCCCCCCCACCTCTTTTTTCACAGCCTATGAGCTAAAAGTGGTTTTGCATATTTACATGGTTGAAATAAAATCAAAAGAAGAATATTTTTTCATGACATGTTAAAATACATATGAAATTCAAATTTCAGTATCTGTAAATAAAATTGTATGGAAACAACCATTTCCATTGGTTTACAGCTTTCACACTGTAATGGCAGAGCAGAGTAGCTGTGACAGAGTGGAGTAGCTGTGACAGAGCGGAGTAGCTGTGACAGAGCAGAGTAGCTGTGACAGAGCAGAGTAGCTGTGACAGAGATGGCAAAGCTGAAAATAGCCACTATCTGGCTAGGAAAAAGCTTGCTGATCCCTGGTCTAAAGACTTCTTCCTGTGAGGCGGAACAAGGCAGAGTCTGGCCTTCCTGGGACCAGGGGACATGGTCCAGGTGACCTCCAGAGCAGATGTCAGGCAGAATGATGTATGGTTTTAGTTTGTTGATGTTGTTTTTTTTACAGGCAGTATTTTAGTGCATGTTTTGTTTTATTTTTAAAAAATTAAATATACTCTGCAATTTGAAATTTAGGATTTGTCACACGAAAGCCTGACGAAAGCCAGTGTGGCTCAGCGGTTAGGACATCGGTTGCGGTTCATCCCTGGCTCTGGTCGGGGTCGTGTGGGAGGCAACCAGTCGATGTGTCTCTCTGACATCGATGTTTCTATCTCTCTCTTTCTCCCTCCCTTCTACTTTACCTGAAGATAAATGGGAAAACATCCTCAGGAGAGGATTCAAAAAAAAAAAAAAAAAGAATGAGGAGCTCTGGCCCACTTTTCCTGGGGCAACAACCCCTTGCAGGTGGACATCAGCTGCCCCTCAGACTGGGCAGAGCCTCCATCGCTCAGACATCTGCGGCAAATGACCTCCCAACACCGTCTCTTCTGCAGCGTGAAGGCAACAGTGACTCCATGCACCTGTCACGGCGGGAACCGAGGCAGGGAAGAACCACAGTGCCGGCCCCCGTCCTCACACTTGGCTCATGACTCTTAACCAGGCAACAACGTAAAGCACTTAGTACAGTTCCTGACACGTGGTAAGAACTCAGTAAGTTATAGCTATTACGACGGTTGATTTGGGTAGGTATTTTAGGACCAGAAGAGACGCAATAGTGCCATGGTGTGGTTTTAAAAAGCAAATGAAAGGAAAGAGAAGTAAGAGTTTCCTCGAGGGTGAGGCCACACTGAAAGCGAAGCCCTTGGCACCTCAAGTCCCCCACTCACGGGAAAGTGCGCTGGGCCGTCTGTACGAGTCGCATAGTGCTGGCTCCCGGGAACAACCACGGCTTGGCGTGTCCGTATATTTCCTTGCAGGCTTGTCCTCTCCCCGCGCTTTCACATAGCAGGGTTTTATAACATTGGGATCGTGCTGTTCTCAATGACAGATTCTCATGAGTGTTTCCCCGAATCAGAAGATGTAAGGAAAAAAGGTGGAGATGGACTTGCTCATGAACTGCAGGGAATGGAACCAAGAGAGACGTTGACAGCAGACCCCCTACAAGGATGGAGTCTGGATAAAAGACAAGCACTGTCCTGGCACAGTCTAAGCTAAGGCACTGGGGCCGGGAGGAGCAGAAACCAGGAAGGTGGTGAACCAGGAAGAGGAGCAGTGGTGGTTGGTCTGGGAGAGAGATCCAGGGGTCACGGGTGAGAGGGGATGGGACCCCAGGGCAGGGCAGGTCTGAGCTAGGCCGTGAGAACCCAGGACACTGTAGGAGAGTTGGCACGGAGGGTAGGGCAGCAGAGATACCTGCCGTGACAGAGTGTGGTTGCAGAGGCTGGCTTTGTGGTGACAGCAGCCTGAGCCTGGGTGGCGAGGATTGTGCTGTCTGGCTCAGATGTTGGATGAACACTTCCTTCATATAAGGGAGGGCATCTCCTTCAAAGTGAACCTCAGAAGTGTTCCCGTTAGAATCAAGAACGAGATACGAAGGCCCACCCCTGCCTCCCTCACACCAGGGTTCTCGGCCAAGAAGCAATAAAACAGAGAGAAGACTTATAAGCAACAGAAAAACAGAATGAAATTGATTATTTTCCAGGTGATAGAATAGTCTCCTTAGGAAGCTGAAGGTTATTTGCTAGAAAAAACTTCAGCGTGAATGCAGGAGCCCAATAAGGTGACTTCTTACAAGATATTAGCCGCACAATCAAGCTGTGACAATTAAGTCACTGTGGTCCTGATATTTAAAAATAACATTTACTGGGATACTCTTTGCAATGCAGAGGAATATGACAAGGAAAACAGGAAGCAGCCCCATCCCATATAACCTGTGTAAAATTAAAAGAATATATGTGTGTAGCTAGAAAATGCAAACAGTATTATATAGAAGGGCGTAAGATTAAAACTGAAAGCATTTCTCTCATCACCAAAAGTTCTCTCACCTAATGACTTGGTAGAATGATTTTTGTTCCCTGAACGTTGAGTGAAATCACGTCTAAGCTGAGATCCGCAGGTTAGTTGGAAGGTAGAGTAGGGAGGCGAGTCGTTCCGGGTGTTAGAGGGTCTGTCTGGGGGACCCATCTCGTGGTTACAGGTGACGAAGTGATGGGCTGTGACCTTTGTCCTCCCTCCCTCCTTCCTCCTTTCCTTCCCTCCTTTCTTCCGTCCGTACGTCCTTCATTCTCCCGAATTTAAAAAGCACCCGCAGTGCACTCGAGCTGTTTTAAGTGCTAAGATCCTGGTCCTCAGAACTTACATCTCACTGCAGGCCAGTGAGCGAGCGATGAACAGGACACTGGGCTCGGAGGAAGCAGCAGGCGGCGGTGCTCACTGCGCCCAGTCTGAGGGCAGACGGGCGATTTTGAGCAGGGTGGTCTGAGCCAGCGCTCTGCTCAGGTCTGAATGAAGGGAAGGAGCCAGTTATGTGCAGAGCCAGGGAAGGGGCTCTCGGGCAGAGG